TTTAAGAGGCGGCAGGGAAAATGAAAAAAAAGCAAGCAGCAATATACTCATCGCCGACGAGGCGACAAGTATTATATTGTTTCTTGCCTTTTATATGGCTCCTCTTGACTAGGGTCCCTTGATGGAAATTGACGTTAAAGTCATCTCAACAGGGTACGGACAGATCCCCGTCTCCTCTCACTCTGAAGTGTTTGTGAAACAGTCATATAGTTCCATCCTTATTCAATTCTGGGGATAAACACTAGATTTTTGAAATTCGTTGTTTTTTAGGTTATATTGAGGTCACTGGCGTATCATACGTAATTTCCATATGGAATTCCTGATTCAACTATACCAAGATATAGATGAACAATCCTCTAGTTTCAGAGTTTACTATACTCCAGCATAATCTTTGCGAAGTAGGGAACATATACTTTGTACTAAAAGCTTGATATATTTCACCAAAAGAGACTGTTCTCAGACTGTATACCAGGGTTGACTGACTAAAAGAATTCTGATTTCAAGCTGAGCAGAAGTTTATCTATGAGCTGAATGAGCTGAGCGTTATGATTGAGAAATGGCGGAAACCTCGATATGGGGGTATCTGAACTACTGTACATGTCATGTGTGCCAAATATATTTTCGGAAATCCAATTCGGAGAAGAATTTATGGAGTGACTAATATCACACTATGTATAAAACATCGTCTGGGACGAAAAGTAGGCTGATAAAAAGTAATACGTAAAAAGTGCAGGAAAATAAAGAATAGAATATAATATATACTTATGATTTTTCCGTCTCCCTTAAATAAAAAGTCATCTTCCAATAATTTTGATGAAAGTAACAAGGGTTCACGCAGTATAACTTATAAGCACATTATCTTCACTCTTGTATCCTATATATTTTCTAATTGTGGTAGAGTAATAGTTATATAAACTAATGTCTTTCGCCATATTGGATCTGTCATCTTGAATTTCCAAATTTTGACGAAACAATCACTATCTCTTACCCCCAAAACCCCCAGATACCAATTTTGATAGAATCGGATCTTCATTACAAAACTTCGTTGGCCATATTGGATCCGCTATCTTGAATTTCCCAATTTTGACAAAAAATCATGGAGTTCGACCTCGAAAACCCTCAAATACCAATCTTATATAGAATCAGATCATAATTAGAAATGTCTTTCGCTATATATTGGATCCGTCATCTTGAGTTTTCGAAGTTTGACGACACACTCCAACCCCGGAAAACCCCAGATACCTTCCAATTTTGAATAGAATCGGATCATAATTACGGAACTCGATCGCCATATGATCTTCCTCAACAAGTTAATACCCTGTACATACCTATTATTAAAATTTTGAATGATTTTCTGTAGCGCTTATGGATGTGACGTGACAGCAATGTCAGGAATGCCAGTAGACAAAACCAAAGTCTCTAGATCATTAAAAAAGAATGCAGCTATGATATGTCCGTACCCTGTTATTGAAGGAAACGCGCAATCACCAAACGCGCAATCAGCGACCGCTGGCAGTCGGCACCGTATCTAGAGGATTGGGATCTTCGACCATACAGGGAGTTTGTTGTTCACAGGAATCGGAGGTTGGGATACTGTTTTTGTGAAAATCATGACATTCACTTATCGAGCGTCAGCTCTGCCCTTATACAAAAGCTACGGTACATACTTGTATTTGATGAAGATGAAAAAACCTTATTCTACTCAGTAGGGGTAATTTCGTGATTCGTCTAACTCAATAACAAATAACAAAACCAGAATTCAGTACTCAATAGGTTGTCGTTGGTTATGGTAAATATTGAAACTGGAAGTCAAAATATGAGTAAAAAAGAAAGTGGTGCATTCTGGAAACGGCAGAAGACGAATAAACGAAAATGAAGTTGTCAAGAGAGGCACTAAAATACTTAAATTTTTTCTCAGTTCAAATGAGATAGAATGAGAACCGACAGAACCGTATCCGGGAACTTCACGTTCTGAAGAAGGCAGAAGGGAAATTTTACAGTTTCATATTTTTAACATTCGGTGAACGTTGAATTTTGAATTTATTAGCCCCCGGCGTAAGTGAGTATAAATCCGGCACTGCTATGGCTCATGCTGCAAACTTCATTCTCGTATGAAATCACAATCATTCCGTGCTCGTGAAACAATATACTATTGTTGAACGATGTGACTACAATATGCCCGTACGAAATCATGGAATTGTTCATTGGCATTTTGTTCTATTTTTTTGATAATTTTGTCGAAGTGTGCCGTACAAAATAAAAAGCAACACTTATAGTGTTTTTCTGATCTCTCTGATTCTGATGCGATCCAGAAAATCAAAATTAGTAAATTTATAAAGATAATGAATATCCCAATTCCGGCTCTGAAATTTTTTTCCATAGTGGGCCATCATATGAAGTGTCAGTAGAGGTAAGTTGCCGGTGAATTTCAGGCGATAACATGGAAACGTTGCTGAAAATAAATATCGTTCATAGAAGTTTCACCCCGAATTCAAATAATGCCCTGTATTTCTGTTACGAATAGGCAAAATATATTTGCCCTATATATCCGCCATTAGGCTATGGCTGGTTAGTCATGACTCACCATGTAGTACAGCTGATCAGACTTTGTAAGTTGAAATAGTCTGTCTTGCATATGCCATAGATCTAATCATATGCTGATGACAATCGTAAAAATCATACATACTGTGTAAATTTTGGACTTATTCATCATAATATTTCATGTGGCTTACTTCACATGACCTACAATTTGGTTTGAATGTGAGTTTGAATTTGCATGTCATGTAACTAATCATATATTATCAATGATTCAGTACTCAGGTGTAACTGATCAATGGACAACCTTGTAAGATGACGATCATGCAATTATACATTGATTGTGAGAAAATGACTGCTTATGCATGCGTGATTCTTTTTTCACAATCACGTTATTTACGGTGATCTATAATAATAAAAAAATAATATGATATGAGAAAGGGAGCAACGTTCAACCAATTTGCCAGAATCGACAGTCCAAAAGTATATACCGGGTGTCCCAGATAATTTCATACAGCCAATATCTCAGTTTTGTGCGGCTTGGAAGGAAATTAAAAAAATACTTTTGTCAAACGCATATGACTTTCAAGCCGTTGTGTCAAAGTCAACTTCTGTCAAACTACCCCTGGAAAACCACCTCAACTTCAATTTTTCAAATCACTCCCTAAGTATACATTTCTGTTGATTTGTGCAAAGTATGCCCGATATTGTAATGTCTGGCACCACCATCTCCACCAAGCCCACCATATCTATGCTCGGTATTACCATCAGCAACACTCTTTCATGGGATAATCATGTCAGATCCATCGCAAAAGCTGCTTCACAAAAACTCGGATTCTTGTTCCGTGCGAAAAGCTACTTTACACCTCAACAGCTTCTCATGATCTACAAAGCGCAGATACGGCCTGTTCTAGAATACTGTTTCTACATATGGGGTTCAGCACCAAAACATTCGCTGATGCTCTTAGATTCCATCCAGAGAAGAGCCATTCGCCTGGTGGTTGACGCCACACTCACTCACACTTTGACATCATTGGAACACCGTAGAAAGGTCGGCGACCTTTCACTTTTCTATAGATACTTCCACGGGAAATCCCTTCACTAGCAATATACCAGTCCGACCAACTGTACAAGCCCAGTCAGCACATCCTCGAGAGATGTCGAACAGCAGTTTATCAAAACTCCTTCATCCATAGAACGGCTAGGCTCTGGAATTCATTGCCTCAGGAAGTATTCCCAACAACATATAATCTCCAGAAGTTCAAAAAAAATTCCAATACCTACCTCCTGTCCTTATCCTCCCTAGGAACGCACGATGTTCTTTAAACATTATAGGGATTTCCTTTCGTGCGCTCCAAGCGATAAAAAAAATCTAACTTCAACAATGTATCACACTTGATAATTTGACTGATGTCCAATTGACACAATACTCATCCGTAGTAAAAGTATAGAAGGCATTCTCTCTTCTCATCATATTGAAAACAAATTCAATGTATGAAGTTTTCTAACCGAAGCTCTCACGCAGCAAAATCAATTTCCGATAATTATTTTCGAGGTCACGAATGCTTTTGTTGATAAAAATGTGTATAGTTATAGTCGAATTCTGCTGCTAGGGAGATAATAAGTGAAAATCGTCCTATGTTGTGGCAACCAAAGTCAAATTTCCTAGATCACTACTGTATAGGAAAATATGTTCCATATTTATTATAAATCACGAAAATTTGCTTTGCATTTGGTCCTTTCCTCATTCATTACTATTCTTAACTATTCACGGGTTTCCTGAAAAAATAATGGTTAACGAGAATAAGAAACAATCAGAAGGACCTCGTCAATTTCTACCGTTTGTAGATGTTTTTCCGTTTCCCAACGAAACGCCCAGTATAATAATAATTATATTCGTTCAATATGATATCGTGCTTTCAGCACCCATTCAGGATACGTATTCTCATTGTTACTTTGATAACAATAATGGTAAAACCGTTAATGAATTATTTCAATTAGAATGTTAAGATAAGGAATATGTTTGATGAACTGGGCATTTATTTTTGTGTGTAATTAGATGTAATTTTACAAAAAAAACATATTGTCGCATGTACTTATTGTGTAGTTATAATTCATGTGGATAAAAGTCAACTATACGGATGTGGCAGGGTATAATCAGAATGTAAAAAATGCTTTTCAAGTTCATTATTGATCAGAATATAATGAAGTAGTATATCTCTTTATCTTGACATACTTAGTTGGACCCAAAATCAAGAACAAGAATAGCAGAAAAAGTTTATTTGTTCCTCTTACATGTGGCAAATTGAGAATAAAAAAAACCTGTTTCAGGAGATTACACAGAAATGAATAGTGTGAATACGAAAGTACTGTTTGTAAAATGAAGAAGTTACGGAGGGGGCGACAGAATTTTGGTCCTCACATGTATGATTGAATGTGAAGTTTGATCACTTTTTTTGTTTCAGGTCATAAACAAATTATAAGAGGGGTATCTGGTAATTTTTTTTCTGGTGAATTGACTGCAATCATGGGTCCATCTGGAGCAGGAAAAACATCTCTCCTCAATGTTCTCACAGGATATCAGTGAGTATAAATATATAGATTTCTTCTCGCCTTCTTTTCAGGAATATCGAGTGAAAACATAATTCAATATAATGATACCCCATGTGAAATAAGAGAACATCATCGAGTGAAATAAATTAGATGAAATTCAACAAAAGTGCATTTCATAAGATAACTCTTCTTTCTGTGATCAAAAAAACCTGAGAGAAATTGAAGAAGGGTTGAAACCACCCTCATCCTCTGAAATTTTGTCAGAACTTTCTTAGGGGTGGTAATAGGTTCTCAAATTTCTTGAGCAAAATGAATGATTAATCATCATCATTTTGTTACTAATGTGGGAATTTCGTATTCCGCATAGTTCCGAAGGAAACAATTTTTTTCTCAAATAATGCTAACAGATATTCCTAGTTCAAGTTTTGAAAAATTGTAATTCAAAATTATCTGGCAGTGGAAATAAACGAATTGACATTTGTCACAAGGTGGGCGTTATATCTAAATTTATTAAAAAATAACGTTCTGCCTTTGTTTCTACTGTCAACTAAATTTTGTTTATAATTATATTAGACTTTGAATAGGAATATCTGTTAGCATTATTGAAGAAAACATTTCTTTCCATCGGAACTATGCGGAAAACGAGATGTTCAAATAGGTGACAAAATGAAGATAATTAATCAACTCGCTCATATAATCTGAGAATCGTAATACCACCCCTAAGAATGTTCTGAAAAAAATTTCAGGGGATGAGGGTGGTTTCAATCCTTCTACAATTTCTTCTGGGTTTCTTCGATCACCGAAAGGTTGATAATGCTCTAAAATGCACTTTTATCAAAGTTCATCCAATTTGTTTCACTCGTTTCTGAACAGTGTACAAAAATTTGTTTTCTATGTAAAGTTTGAACTCGTCTCACGGACAAACGGTACATTTTGTTATATGAATAGTACGACGCGTCTACGATGCGTCTGAACTGCCATCCTAAAGAAACTTTTTTTTTCACGAACATTTGCCTAATTTACAGTTGCATCTGTAAATTAGCACTAATTTACAGCAATTAGGCAGAAGAAATTTTTTTTTCCAAACACAGTTGCAACTGTAAATTAGGCGATATTTTGGAAATGTCCGTAAAAAAAGTTTTCTTTAGGATGGCAGTTCAGACGCGTCGTAGAATAGATATGGATATACGTCCAATCCACTTATTTTGGCTTGTATTACACGTAGTAGCTCGGAGTTGCAGCAATTTTTGGACACACATAATCTTATCTATCACACCCAGGTACACTACTTGACACCACCTATTTGTCGATACATTATAGCTACTTTATAGCATGTATTCAATGATGAAAGTGCTTGGTATTGATGGTATCGTTAAGATGATGATTTAATTTCTTTCCCCAATTTTTGGATATAGAGAAATTAATAGTAGTTTCATTAACTGAAGAACACGCTTTTATATAGGGTGTCCCTCCGGGAATTGCATCGATCAATATATAGAAAACCATAGTTGGGCCGAATTTGAGAATTTGGGAGTTCACTATCGTTGATGAGTGCTATCCGGCTAGAATGCTTTGAAGATTGTGGCACTTCCATTTGTACCGGAAGTGAACCCCAATTTCGTTATTTTAAATGGGACACCCTGTATATTATCAAGGTTTTGAATTCTACGCATGATTCTTAACATGTTCCATGTATAATGTCCTATACCCAAGTCTAACCGTTTTCGAAATATTTCAAATTTTATGTTAGAAATTGCGATTGCAGACCGAAAAATATTTTTTTCTACTCACATAGCTAAAATGGCATTTAGCGTACGGATATGTACCACGCTAAATGATCGATTAATCACGGATTGTCGATCTGTGATTTATTCAAAATATTAAACACGTTACCATGGCAACACGATTTCTTAAACACATCACCATGCCAACACAGTTCATTAAACACAGCTTCAGTAATTAGAGACATGGCCTGTTAATTGTATTAACTGTCAACTGTTATTTTCAAATTTTCTATCAGAGTTATTGAAACATTATTCGTTTGTATCAGAATTCTTCATTGAAAATATATGCCAAAAGTAGACGAGAGTGAAATCGAAGTGAATGTTCTGGTACTCGCATATCCCCAAGAAGTGTAAAAATGAAGCATCCATCTTTGAGAACAATTTATTCATTCTGCGCTAAGCATGACAATAAACGTGAAACAAAGGTTAGTAAGCAATGGACTAGACACATCTACAACCAATATCACTTATACGTGTCTCGCTGGTTGCATGCAGTTGCATGTATTATGTTCTCAATTCCCATTCCTTTCGAATTATTTTGTAGGTTAGTAGGAATTGCAGGTATGTTAAATTCAATTTTCGGAGTTCGTAGAAAAATCATAGTATGTAACGCGTTTATAAACTCTTCTAGACACTCGTTTATTGAACACTCGCTCCGCTCTGCTCCGCTCGTGCTTAAACTACTCGTTACTAAAAGGACGTTACTTGTTACATAATATACTATTTCCGTCGACCTTTTAATGTTTATGAAATCGTTCATTAATGACCCCTATTAATGATCAATTTGTCTATTAATGCACGATTGTTTTATAGGCAACCAAACATACACTCGCTTCGCTCGCACGTTAAAATATCTCGATCATTAATCGCCATCATCAATACACTAGTTGGTTAAATAACTATTGATCAAAATATGATGATTGTAAATGAAATAGTATACAAACCTCGATATAGGGAGTTTCATTCCTGTCTCGAGATTATATATAGCTAACCTCGACGCTTTGCGTGTCGGTTAACTAACTAATCTCACAACAGGAATGAATCAAAATTCATAATTCACCTCGGTGTGTAATACACTATTTTTTATTTCAGTTAAAAATAATAAATAGATTTAAGTAATCTTCATTCTTCATTCGAATAATTCAAACGAGCCGGCATGATTGATTAAACAATGTCATTTCCGTGGCAGTTGATTGTTTCCAATGCAACTGCGGGCGCCATGGCCAACTAAGAATAAGTAAACTCAAGAATACGAGATTTTCTGGAACTGAGACATGTTAATTCGCCAATATTTCGAAAACTGTTGAGTGTAGGCATAGATAACCTCATTCAAAGTCAGCTTCATTTTCGATGCCGAATCGAATGAGAATATAAAATTGGGTGGTTTCCATTTGAAAAAATTGACTTACAATAATTTTTTCAACCGGATCTATATCATTTTCTGGTGAACGCTCTGTATAACTGTGATCGAATTGATATCGAAATTCTACTGAGCTGGGTCCTCTCCTACGAATAAATCGAAATAAAAAAAAAATCTTCGGTCTGCAAACGCAATTTTCAACTTAAAATTTGAAATATTTCGAAAACAGTTAGACTTGGGCATAGGACATTACCTTGATGATATACAGGGTGTCCCATATAAAATAACGAAGTTGGGGTCCACTTCCGGAAAAACCAGAAGTGACAAAATCTTCAAAATATTTTAGCCGGATAATCAACAATAGTGAAATCCCAAATTTTCAAATTCGGCCCACCTATGGTTTTTTATATATTGATCGATGCAGTTCCCGGAGGGATACCCTGTAGACAGTCAAACTAAAGAGAAGTAGAAAATCTATATACAGGGTGAACCGGAAATGTGTGTCGAGCATTGTGGAGGTGATAATTCATTGAAAAATAAGTATAGTTTGATGAATAAACTAATGGTCCAAAATGTATATTGAGGGAGATATATCCTTTCAAAGTACATAAAATTCAAATTAATTTCGCGTAAGACTTCTGAATGGTAAAAACATAAAATACATTTTTCTGATACACTTCTACATTTCTGATATTGTTATGATTTTTTGGAGACAACTTTTTTCCTCGTATTCTTTCTGGTGGAAAAATAAGGGCATTGAATAGACGATGAAAATCATATAAAAACGGTACTCCTATCAAAATACAAAAATTGTAACCATTTTCAAGATATTTGAGTTTTTGTAGTCACATGATATCAGCAGATTTCTATTTAATGTATTTTGTCTCATTGTTGGGTCACAATGAGACAAAAACGAAAAAATAAGAAGAAGCATAATTCGATCAATTCACACTTTTTCGAGTTGATTTTCAATAATCCAAATTTTGTCTAACACTGGCCCATCCTCCCTACACATAAAAACATTAAACCCAACAAGTTCCATGAAAAAGTTGTAGGATGACTTCATGAACAAATGTCTGTCTCTTGTTATCTGAAAAATGATTTTTTTGTATTTGTATTCTCATTGGGCGAAATTATTAAATCTTTTTTGGTGCTTACGTCTCACATATATGGCAGCAATCTATTGAAAAATATGGTGAAACCTTAGCTGTGGCACTTGATATCTCCAAGGCATTCGATCGAGTCTGGCACCACGGACTCCTCGCCAAGCTTCCATCTTATGGCTTGCCTCCCCAGCTATGTTCTCTGCTAGCTAGTTTTCTCTCAAACAGGTCTCTCCATGTAGTGGTCGATGGAGTTTCATCTGACTCTCTTATTATAAATGCTGGTGTTCCGCAAGGATCAATTCTAGCACCAACACTATTTCTACTCCATATCAACGATTTGTTGGAAACAATTTCATGTCCAGTACACAGCTTCGCGGATGATAGTTCCATACCGCCTTCTATTCCAGGGCTCCAATATCAGCCAGGCAAATCATAAACGAACGAGCTAGAAATGTTGACAACATGAATATGGACTTGGCAACAATTCTCGAATGGGGATCCAATAACTTGGCCGATTTCAATGCATGCAAACAAAACACAAGCATGCCTTTTCTCTAGAAAATCCGATCTCACTATGCCCAACATAAGCTTCTCAGGAGTAACCATACCTGAAGACATCCATTTCGATGCTTTGTATTACTATCAGCAATAACCTTTCTTGGGAAAAACACGTGAGATCAATTGCTAAAAGTGCATCCCATGAACTTGGTTTTTTTTTTTCGGGCCAGGAGCTATTTCACTTCCAGCTGCTTATGATCTATGAGGCACAGATCCGACCTG